CAAGGGGGCGGTGGGGGAGGGCTGGAGGGGGAGTTTGGGATGAGCAGATGCAAAGTAGTCTATACAGGACGGCTAAACAACAAGGTCCTACTGTGGAGCACAGGGAACTGTATCAATATCCTGTGATAAACCATCATGGAGTAGAATATGAAAAAGAATATATGTGTGTATAACTGAGTCACTCTGCTGTGCTGTACAGCAGACTTTACCACAACATTGTAAATCAACTAGACTTCGGTTAAAAAAAAAAAAAAAAAAAAAGAATAGATCACATCGGATACATCTGGACACACAGGGAACCTCTGTGCTTTCACTGGTCTGAGAGCAGCTCTTTGAGGGAAAACACCTGGTCTTCCTGATCCTTCTGGTCCCCTGAGAGCAGCACAGTGCCATGCCTTACAACTGAGGGGGCCCCAATAATGTCTGCTGAGTTGAATAGTCATTAATAAGATTATTTTGCAGGGATGGACTTAATGTATCAGGATTCATGAAGTTTGTAAGATTTAGGATCTCTGCATATTTTCATTGAACCATGGGGGTCAAGGAGGAGGCTGAATGAACAGTTCCTCAAGGTCAATAGCACACTTATATACCGGCCCAGAACTTGTCCTTAATTCTCTAATTAAGATTAAAAAAATAAAGCAAAGATCCACTGTCAAGCAGCTACTTTGTGAAATTATCTGTTAAAGATTACATTGTCTGATAGGGCTTTATTCTGGGTTAGTTCAGTCATGATAAAGATTAAGAAAAACACTTTCATAGATTTTAACTTGCCAAGTTCAATATTGCTATATTTTATATAAGTGGCTGGCCCCCTTTTGAGTCCTATGGCAGCATTAGATAAAGTAGTTAACATTCCAATAAACTAGTAACTCAAAAAAGAGGTGTTCATTTTAGACATATTGCCCCAGGCTCTCCAGGACAAAAGGCCACTCACATTCATACAGGGGTGCTTTGGAAAAACATATAGTTTGCCTAATAGGTCCAGGAAATGCTAGGCCTGGTGTGTACATAAGGGCACTTGAGGTGGGAAAGATGTCCCTCCCTCCCTCTTCGGAGAGATATCTTGGGTCTTATCCCCTGTCTTTCTCCCTTTCTCTGTCCCCATTCTGCCCTGCAAATCCCACCCCCTCAACATCAGCAGGTTCTGTGTCCTTGTCTTTATCCTGATATGACTGCCATGATCTAGGTCTGTATTCTCTCCTCCGAGGCCAGGGATTGGCAAACTTTTTCTGTAAAGAGCCAGATAATAGACATTTAGGCTTTGTGGGTGTACAGTTTCTGTCCCAGCTTCTTAGTTCTGTCGCAGTAGAAACGGCCATAGGCAGCGTGTCTGTGAATGGAGGTGGCCCTGGTCCAATAAACCCCAGGCTGTGGGCTGTGTGTGGCCCTCAGGCTGTAGTGTGTCAAGCCCCGGAAAGCATTCTCCAGCCACTTCATTCCGACGTCAGTGGCCTGTGTGTTTTTCGTCTTTATATCTCCAGGCTCTTACAGGGTGTCTGGTACCTAAGAGACATGCAATAAAAGTTTGTAGGAAGAGTGCTGAGTGCCCCATCCCGAGCATACACGCCAAGGATGTCGGTCTGTTACTGAGCTGTTAGATATTATTTCAGTTTCAGTAACTTAAAAGACTTGGAGCTCTTTTTAGATTTACTAAAAATTAGAAATCCATTCCCCTTCTAACAACAGAATTACATGTTTATTGTTTTATGAACAGTTGTGTCAGCAACATGGCATCCAGCACCTCTAATTATAAGCCTTTTAAAACGCATTCCTCTTGGTGGTAAGTTTGACCAAGGCTTAGACAAGAGGCGTTTTGTTTTTTGTTTAAACAAGAGCATCTCAGACGCAGGTGAATGATGAGACCTGCTCGCTGCCAGGAAGAATGTCGGATTCTTAAACTCCTTGTTGGCTCAGGAGTGTTTTGCTTATCTTTAGGGTTAATCATTCTTGGAAGAAATTCCTCACCTTGTTCCTCTAAGTCACAGCAAAAAAGCTTTGCTCTAAGTGTTTTCTCTTAGGAGGAGGGGTTGCCAGGGGTCACACAGCCTCTCTCTGCCCAAACACAACTCCAAGCTGGGTGCGGGCGCGCCCCTGGGTAGGCACGAGGCCCTGTGTCCTGTGCTACGCAGGCCCAGCCACCACCAGAAGGAAACCCTGTGTCAGAATGAGATTTGGGTAAATTATCCACCAGCCCCATCAGCAAATCTCCTCCAAGGCACTGTGCTTTTGAGAAATTATTAGAGGATCACAGAGCCAAAATAACTCCCAAACAGCAGCTTTGGGGCTATAGATGCCCTGTGATCTGCCCAGGAGCCAGGGAGGTGCTGCAGTCCCTTCCGCAGCCCTTGAGAGCCAACGGCACCCATCTCCCCGCTATGCCTTCACACTGGCCACTTGAAACCAGCTGGGGGGGCGGGGGGGGGGGGGAGGG